TTTCACTTCGGCTACGGCCACAGTGACCCAGTGTCACCTGTTTTACTTCGGCTACGACCACAGTGACCCAGTGTCACGTGTTTCACTTCGGCTACGGCCACAGTGACCCAGTGTCACATGTTTCACTTCGGCCCCGGCCATAGTGACCTAGTCACACGTTTTACTTCAGCTCCGGCCACAGTGACCCCGTGTTACACGTTTCACTTTGGCGACCGCCACAGTGACCCCATTTCACATATTTTACTTTGGCTCCGATCACTATGACTCCGGTCATTATTTTTAATACGGCTCCAGCCACTGTTCCTTGCTATGGCTCTTTATTTCATTATCCGCTACGGCTATACATACTTGTGCGGTACTAATTTTTGTTTTTATCTCTCCAACTTATCTATCTTGTGTTTTCTTTCATGCACTACCCCTATCACTCCCAATAACATCATTCACAAGTGAATGACTTCGAGGGGGGGGGGATAGTGTAAGGGCAGGTCCGAGGTGCTCAACCTCGAACGTACAATAGTAATTCTTTTGCAACTAAAAGTAAGGAATAAATCCAGAGCTTCCCGCTCGAACAGCAGCATAGCAGTTACGATGGACATCCTTACATCAAATCCCGAAGATCTTGCTTGGCTCAATCTCCGAGTCCCAAAATAACTGCTTGGAGATACGCATCAAATCCCGAAATAACTGCCTGGAGATACACATCAGATCCCGAATATCTTGGTTGGCATGCCACGTGATTTCTTCATTGGAACATATAAATACCCCTCAAGGGCCACGCCAAAAGGTAACAAAAACTAACCCTAAGCTCCTTGTTTCTCCGCTTCAAAGGTAGCCCCGATTATTGCTGACTTAAGCATCGGAGTGTCTACCCCGAGGATCCACCTCGGGGCTTTGCAGGTCAATCCAGAGTGCAGATACGGACTGAAAAGGGACTTCTGGTTTGGTGCAGTTACAATATGAAATGATCGGAGACGATGTCCTCCGATTTGATAAAAGGAAGTCGGAGTAATTGAAGAAAAAAGAGCGGGAAGAAACGGAGAGATAAGGAATCACCTTTGATGGAAGTCCTCAATAGGGGAGGAGATTTGGTAATATTTAATACCATAATCTACGTCCGTTTGCTTACTAATTTATCCTTTTCAAAATTAATTATTCACTTTTTTTTTATGTGGTAAATTAAATATGAAAAAAAAATGTTACAGTTATAATAGTATAATCATTATCACATAAATTATAAGGTTTTAGTTATAATATATTATTAAGTGATACTCTTAGTCTATTTTTAATAAATATAATTTAATTTTTAATTTTTAAAACATAAATTTTACATAAAAATTTAATAATTTATATAAATAATAATTAAAAAAAATTTTATCAAATAAAAATATTTAATAAAAACTATATAAAAAAATTTCAATGATTGTTTACATAAATCATGAAATTTACATTTAAAATTCATATTTTAAAAATAAAAAAATCAAATTAATTTTATTAAAAATTTACAAAAAAATTTATAGTTATAATGTAATAATCATTGTGACATAAATTATAAAATTATAATAATAATGTATTACAAAAACCAAGCACCGACCAGATATTTTATCAGTATTGGATTTTTCATTTGTTTCTATTGGTAATTTGCTTTTATTAAATTTTTTAGTACTGTATTTAAAATTTAAACTTATTTTATAAAATAATATTTATGTATTAATAAATCTAACACAAATTGGTATTTAAAGTGAATTTTTCATGCATTCAATTTAATACTTTTTTATTTTTTGAATATATTGGCAAGGGACGGTTCGAAACCGTCCAGGAAGAGGGGGGAAATGCACCATTGATTGGCTTGATACTAGTGGACCTCAAGGGTCGGGTGCCAATTTAATACTTTTTTAGTTGAAATCTTAACAAATTATTTCATTCTTAATTTACCAAATTCTTTGAACATATTGAAATTATTTATATCTTAATTGAAAAAAAAGAAAAAGGGATTCGACATGCGATGCACAAAAAATGAACAACCTTGACCCAATATTCATGTTACTAAATAGGAGCGGATCATTCGTTGAGCTTCTCTCTCTTGATAATAAACACAAATCAAAGGTTTATTCTCTTGGCATGTAGCCAGAAGTCTTACATGGCAAGGTATAATGAGGGAAAAGCATAGTCATAGTTTGAGAAATCACTCATACATATATATTAAGCAAACCACAAAAACTTAATAAAACAGATTACATAATGCTGGAACAACACGCCAGTTCATCTACATTATAAGATCTTATATGGCAACAGTACAAGCACATAGGCATCATTAGAATTTTCCAGAGGTTACAGCATAGGAAAATAAGGACGAGCTGAAAGTATGAGTTGACATTGACCCTAACTGAGCTTCCTCCAGTTGATGGGGCTATTTTGGATCCTGCATCAATTCACACAATAAGTTACCACATATTGTCTACAATATTGCAATACTGCAAAAGAAGCTTGATTTTCTTGTCCCTTTTCTTAAAGCATAAAAATGCGTCATTTGGTCACCTTATGCGTATTAGACTAAAATATACCTCTCCGATCCAGTTAAAGGTAGAAAATATTTAAATGCATTTGGAGAATCAATTACAACATGTACCAATAACTGATGAGATATTTGGAGTTTGATCCCCTGGCATCCCTTGAGGAGAACCTGATACATCCACAACTGCCAAAAAATTAATTAAATCATTAAGTTCTAGGTACATTTTTAGGCATTAGGCTCCCGTGGCACATACCTCGAGGAGAAGCTGCTGGTGCAACCACAGTTGCAAAAAAAATTAATTAAACCAATGAGTTCTAAACATACATTTCAATACAAAATGCAACGTTTTCTGTTTTGGAATTGGGCTAAATGAGCTATTACCATTGCATTCACTAATAGGAGGAGCCTACACATTGCAAGCAGCAGGAAGGGCCAGAGCCTGAGTCTGGTCGATTGTAACACCAAGAGATGAAGCCTCGCCATTAAGCAATGAGCAAAGACATGTAGGCTGTGATTTAATTATGCTGGCGAGTTGCAAGCAGCACGAAGAAGATCGAGTTGAGAGGCCCCTAACACATAATTCAGGCATGGAGCCAGGTTGATGATGACACTGGTGCAGCCAGAAGTATCAGATTGTGCCATGGTTCTTGCACAAAATTGGGTCACTAGGACAATGACAAGTCCAATGTTTAGCCCTCTTGTAGCCATTTTGATGAAATGGGTCACAGATTCAGGATATAATCAGGATGTGATCTGTGCATTAAGTTCTACTTGAGTTGCTTTCTGGTCTAAGAAGAGGAATGACTTGACATATATAAACCTTAGAAGGAAAGGATATTGGCAAACTAGAAAAAACAATCTGATGTAACATTGTGCTACAACAAGTAACATGTGCCATTTTGGAGATGCTTTTGGAAGGCTATTTTTGGTAGGAAACGGTAAACTAAAACAACTATTCGCCAGTCCGGACTGGCCCGGTTGGCAATGGTTTAACCCTACTGTGGGTGAGGCCCATGTGACTTAGAAGTGGCCCAACTTATCGTGGGGCTGGATTGTCTTAAAACTGAGAGGAGTTTCGGGTATTTTGCGTGAGATTACACAATTAAAATGTAATTTAAACAATGAAATTATTAAAATGCTATTAATAAAATAATATAGAGAAGAATTTTATTTAAAATATATTAATAAAATATTTTTTTAGGGCATATGTTAAAGATATTTTTATTGAACTTGATTTTTTACATAAAATAAGGAATTTTATAAAACAAAATGCATCTTTATTTATTTAAAGTTATCCATTTATTTCATATAGAGATATAATAAATTAATAG